AAATTCTCGCACCGAGATGATTGACACCAAAATAGCAAATGACGTCATAAAATAACAGAGCTTTCTTCCAGCCTGGGCCGTTTAAAAGTGAAAGTGAGATCAGCCGAGGGGCTGGGTAACTGTTTGCTAAAAAGAAATAAATGATATGCGTTCATGAGTGCGAATAACGAAATCAGAAAAAAAAAATTAAAATCAACCAAAGGGTCTAAAATGAGTGAAATTCTACAATTAAATAACGACATTCGCACAAGAGAAAGGAATTCACAATATTCGTAAGTAATTGCGAATCACAAAAAGAAAATTCTCAGCTTGTGAGAAAATCACGAACAAATACTGAATTCGTTGTAGTTGAAACAATATGAAATCTCTAAATGCGAGAGAATTAATTATTTAAAGAACGACATTCTTGTGTTTGTGACCAGCGGTCGTACCTCACATCTGTGCTGAGTGTGTGACCTCAGATCAAGATAATTGACTGAATGTTAGTGTAAGGATTTTAAACTTTCTACTTTAGCACGTAACCAGCAAAACCAATGTAAGAACGGGTTTACTTAACACATGTATGGGGAAAGAAGAGAGGAAAGAGAAAAGATTGGCCCATAACGTGTACTTACGTGGTTTTGTATTCTTCATATTGCGATGGTTTGGTCGAGTGGTGGCAGTGATACGCTGTACACTTCATTAATAAAACACGAATAATGAAGACTACGATATACTGACGGTCCGTGCGGGGGTGTAAGGCAAGCCGACCCAAGGTCTATATAAGTACAGGTCTCATCACCGGAGTTCTGCGCAGCTTTGGGTGATAAGGCCTATGACGTCACTTGGAGAGAGCTGAGAGCAAAGGGGGTGGGGGGAATTAGAGCATGGTAGGGTGGAAGGGAGATAATTGAAAACGGTGGTAAATGAGCTGATACTTAAGTAATTTTAGATGTCGGCACGTTGAACGATTTGCATATTGGACAGATTTTACAGGCGATGATTATCAGCAATTGTTTATAGGCCTATATCACATTCTACGTGAATTAAGTTTTGTAATTTTCATGTTGCAGCTTAGACATGGCATAATAAATTCGTAAAATAAAAATAAAAAGACATGGCATATGTAAACTCCAAATGTTTTTTGACGAATTTATTATAAAACAAATCATACAACAATAACAATAATAATGTTAATAATAATAATCATAATAACAATAATAATAATAATGGCAATACATAAACATAATAATAACATAAATGTACATATATAAGCTGCAACCAATCACTGGGTATTGTGGCTTTGCGCGCGCCGGTCAGTCAAGCGAGCGAAAACGGAGAGAGGGAGAGATCCTTATGGCTCTACCTCACATCAAAGAATGACCACACGATTAGCGTCGAACCCCCAGGCTCTATCTCCAGATGACGTCATGCGCGAGATGGACGAATTTGAGTTGCTTAGTGACGAGACCTGTACTTGTATAGACCTTGGGTCGACCCACCAGAAAGGCAGAGCTACAGCCGGCCGCGAGTATGAGCAGGTCACCACGGGAGTCGTGAACATTTGGAGTGAAGTGAGCGTGACCCGCCCAGCTACGGGCAGGCTCTCCGAGGGTGTGAGGGAGGTCAGTGCAGTTCAGTTATATTTGCGGTCATGCTTCGCCCGGGCCTTTTCTTTAGAGTGGCCCGGCCTGTGTTAACTATTTCTAGCTAACTCAGGTGATTTTTTTTAACTGCATGCTTATCATGGTGGCTGAATTGCGAGCAAGCGATCCAGCTGCCACGGAGTAAGCATGTTACAGAGCCGTTTTACCAGCCCGGCGGCTGTGGTGGGTGGTCCCTGTGTTAGAAATTGTGTGCGTTCACAATTTTGCAAGTAATGTAACAGGGTGGCGTTAGACTCGCGGCAGTGTTTGCATAACCTGGGAGTCTCATTGTCAATAATTTGCCAAGCGCATTGGTAACCTAGTCTTAGTCTGAATAGTATGACTTCGGTACCACTTTTTGTGTTTGGAGGAAGGGCCAGTGGCTCATAGCCTGAAGCATCTGAGTACCATTTAGCAGCGAGCGAATTGTGATATTTTCTCTATGTGCTCCCCGGAGGACCGCGCACACTGTGGCTTTGGTTCTTTGGCTTAATCCCCTTCGGCTAGGTTTAACGATCATGGAGGATGGGGGCATACCCCTGCCCTTTTCAGCTAGTTTGTCAGCAAGCTCGTTTCCGTGAATGCCGATGTGGCTTGGGACCCAGTTAATGATAATTCTACTACCCTGACTGAGGATTCTTTGGGCTATGGATAGTACTGTTGTCAGGAGGTAGATGTCAAGGGGCATGCTATGCTGTAAGCTGTCAATAGTTGCTCTAAAATCTGTGTGAATGACATGTCCTGCCCTTAGGGACATATGTGTCAGGGCTTCCATGATCGCAACCGTTTCAGCTTGAAGCGTTGAGGCATTGTCAGTGACCCTAACGGATACTGTGGTATCCCTTGTTGCGAAGCCGGCGCCTGCAGTATTGTTTATGGGATCCACGGATCCGTCCGTGTAGTATGTTAAGCTACCCGGAGGAGTGATTTGATCAATGACCCTTTGTGCTTGTGCCTTTAAACATGGAATATTGATCTTTTCTCACTGTAAGATTTAGAATTGAGAATTCGATCATTTCGTTTGCCCACGGCGGGAGTTCTTTGTAGCCAGGGTGAGGGGAGTCCATGCCCTTGGCAAGCAATGGTTCTTTTAGCTGAAAGCGTATCAATACTCTGGCTGTATGTATGAGCCAAGAGTTGTCCGCAAACAACTGGTAGTCTTGTAGGCGTCTGAGTACTCTTTGTCTTAGATAAGAGGTTCTGGGTGCCTGCAGACCTTGGAAAGGAACTGTGCTGCCATTAGATCAATTCTGGTGTCCATGGACGGCAAATCAGCTTCCATGAGGAGGTTGATGACCTTTGTCCACTTGGGCGCACCTAGCATGATCCTGGCTGCTTCGTTTTGTATTGTTTTCAGTTTTTCATTTAATGTTGTGCTGGAAGCAATGAGGGCGACAGATGCATAGTCAATAATAGGACGGACAGCATGTACATAGAATGCTCTTAGTACTTTGTGTCCTGCTCCTATGTGTTTCCCTGTCATGACTTTCATGACTGACAGTCTTTCCTTAGTTCTGTCAAGCAGATATTGGATCTCCTTTTTGAAAGTGAGTGTGTCCTATCCATACTCCAAGGTATAGGTAGTCCTTAACCCATTCCAGATTCATACCCTGTACAGTGAGTTTTTTGTTTCTGACATCGGTTCTCAGAGCCATTGCTTTGGATTTTCCTGCCGATATTTTAGACCCGTCCTACAACACTCTTCAGACACCAGGTTCAGACAACGCTGAGCTCTAGTTAGGCAGTGATTGCCAGAGGCTATGATTGCCAAGTCATCTGCATAAGAGATGATCTTGCATCCTTCTGGAAAGTGAATGTTGAGTATGTTGGACATGAGGGTACTGAACAGGGCTGGCCTGTGAACCCTACCCTGAGGAGTTCCATTTTCAAGTGGCATGTGCTGCGAGAGGTGGCCTTGAAATCTGACATTTGCTGACCTATTTTTAAAATAGTCAGCTATCCAGGCCAAGAGTCTGCCTTTGACTTCTTTGTGGAATAGGGTCTCTTGAATGGCAAGTGGGCTTGCCAATTCAAAAGCCTTCTCCAGGTCTAGGAAGACAGCCACGGCGGGCGAGGTGCAGATTGTGTTTCAGAGTGTGGAAATGCTGTGTGCAGTGTTCTTACCCCTTGTGAACCCGTGCAGGTGTTCATGACGGGGGCCCGTCTTTCATCGGAGCCTGTTGAGTACCATCTTCTCAGCTGTTTTACACAGGCAGCTGAGAAGAGAGATGGGACGGTACTTGCCAGACTCCTTTGGTTTTGGGATGGGAACTATTGTGGCTTGTTTCCAGCTCTGGGGCACCGTGGCGGTTGCCTGATAACCTGCAAGAATGCAAGTTCTCCTGCCAGGCCTAAATGCGAAATGATGGGGTGGGAGTTCCCATCAACTTCCGGTGCTGATCCAGAGTTGGTTTTGTATGACTTTCTTAGTTCCCCTAGGGAGAACAAGGCATCCGTGTCATCGGGTTCGAGTGCCTTGTCTCTGATGAGAGCAAGTCTTCCTGGATTTAAGTTTTGTTGTTATTCCCTCATCACTGGAGGCAGGTTGTTGCTGCTGGTTCTAGCTGAGAACTCAAGCACCAATCTGTTAGCCTCTGACTGTGGATCATGATGAGTGCATTTCGGGGCTTGGCGGCTTGTCGCTTGCCTGACCCGTTTCCACAACTCTGTAAGGCTGGTCTGGTTTCCAAAAGTCTGGCACCATTCCAGCCATTTTTCCTGCCTTACTCTATTGGCAGTTTCCTTGGCATCTGCAACAGCTTCCCTCAACAGGGCCAGATTGTCGGGAGTTCTTTGCCATCGGAAATTTTTTTCTGCACATATTGACCCTGTGGTTGACCTCTTTGATTTCGTCATTATAGTACCAGACGTCTTTGTGAGTTCTGGACCATGGGCGAGTTTTGGGGATGGTCTGTGAGGCTGCCTGATTTATGGCCTGGATTAGCCTT